CCAGGAGGAGTGCCTACGGAAGAGACTACTGCGTTTTTCAGAGCAGCAAGAGGCAGATTGGCTATTCTGGCCGGACTTGGCAAGGTGCCACTACTCAAATTCCATCAAACAGTGGTACAGCAAAAACGGCGTCACAGTGGCTCCCAAGGAGATGAATCTGTAAGTAAGGCCAATTGAGGAATACTGGTCAATTGTGAAGCACATACTCAAGAAAAAGGGTGGAACTGCAATTGACCTGAAGGGTTTCAAGCGGAAATGAAATTTGGCAGCCAATCAAGACGGACCAGGGCTCGTGCAAAAGATGATGGGCCGCGTACGAATAAAAGTTCGAGCAATGACCTATGGCAAGGAGGAAGTCTGAAACAAAGGTTTTACTAAAAGCATAATACCTACTTATGTATAGCTGTTACATTGAACTATGCAAAATAAAACGCATTTCTAAACCTCAACAAATGGAATGAGATCTTGAAGTTTGTGTTCAAAACATAAAATGATAAGAATTGAGAACCACAAAATATTGGAAGTATTTCGGAGTTCTTTAATTTTTTTTTCATTTCTTCAATGCCCCTTCTCGAACAGAGATTTGGAGAAATTTAAACAGTTCCAGCTTTTTGAAGAATGTTTAAAAGAACATTCAGAGTTCAATGACAGACAATCAGACAGAACACATTGGATATTGTTCACTTTAATACACTGCGACGGGTAGTACGCCATATAGATGGCGGTAGTGTGTAAACGTCAAACAAGGAAAATTTACTATGCACGTCACAGGTGGCAGTACTACCAACTAATAAATATTGTAGCTTATCGTTAAATGTGTGATCGATGAACAACATGCGAGTGACATGTCTGTTTATCTGTTAATTTTTAATTTTTGGCCTATTAACCCATTCAGCCAACTGATGTTCAACCTAATGACCAATTTTCTGGCGCTGGTGGTGTAGTGGTAAGCGTGACTCCTTTCTCACCCCAATGGGTCTGGGTTCAATCCCAGTCGAGGTCGGTGGGATTTTTCTGAGGCATACAAATCTCTGGTCACGTCTTCATTCGGAAGGGAAGTAAAGCCATTGGTTCCGGCCCATGTGTGTTGTGAATGGGTGCGATATCCTACGCAGGTGTGGAAGTTTCATTCCTGCACATTCGATTGCCGTCAATGGATGGCAATCGATGTCCGTCTGTGATTGGCACTAGATTGTGGAACAACGTTAAATAAAGGAAAGAAGAAATAATGACCAATTTGGCCTATTGGTATTCAGCCTAGTGGTTCTACACTAGAATATCCAGAGTCTATCATTGGAACACACTCAGAAAAACTGAATGTTAACGAACGCGTAAAATGTTCATTTATGTTACTTCTTGATATCAATTGCATAAACATCTAATGTTTGTACAAGCTTGTACACAACAACACTCGATGTATCATGTAAAGGTATGCGAAATCTAGCGTTACCTACGTGTACGCTACAGACTTAATTTTTTTGTCGCCGAGATTCCAACAGCCGAGTAGTTCTGCAATTTATTTTGCTGAGATTCAGTAAAACAACTGCCGAGAGTCAGCTAACAAATATAATTTTGCTGAGATATCAGCTAACAAACAGATATTTTGCAAATGTTTGAAAGAACATTAATCCAGATGTATATTTAAAGAAGCCATATTGAAAATGGGGCTTCCCTTAGCTCAGTCGGTAAAGGCACAGCTACAAAGCTGGAGGTAGGTGGGTTTGATTTCCGGTCCGGTCTACAAATTTTTGGGTAAGGAAAATTTCTCGACTTCCCTGGGCATAGAGTCTGATGGTCAGTGCTGATAAAAATCATTTCTTTTACACTTAAATAAGCTGAAAATGAAGGCTACCTTGAAAGATAAACCAACTACCTGCATGAATTTGAATTTTGACATGATAGCATGCTCTTGATCAAGGCAACCGCTGAGTTTTGTGGTCAACAGCTGTTTTTGTTCATTCAAAGATGCATATTCATTGACGTCTGTTCTGTTGTCATACCAATATTCATAATCATCTTGGTGGGGATTTAAGTTTCACACAAATACTCCGTTGTGCGACGTGTTATGTTTCTTTTTTCACTCAGATCGATGGAAGATTTTTGCCTTTTGCAGAATTGATGATAATATCGAGATTTTAGCCTCTGCAATCGCTAATATTCTAAATAATCATTAATGGCCAAATGAGTTATTTTTTTGCTTCGTTTCAGATTTTGAAAATCTTGGGTTGTAAACTCAAGCGTTTATGAATATCAACAAACTCGTATTCATCGATGGATAATGAACTAATTTGGTCATTTCACGCGTACGTAATTCATCTACACTTGGTAGAAGCGATAGCCAGTGCGCGTGAGGGTAAATGACAAAAACAGACACTGATGATGGTACTTGTCACACAATTATACTTATGCAAAAATGGTACAGGCATCGAAAGCTCTCAATTAATAACTGTGGAAGCAGTGATGACACATATAGATTTATCTGTAATCATTAAGATATGTTTCAAATTTTAATGCAGATATCGATAGATTTTTAGAAAATATACAGATTTTTCAAATAAGTGGATTATATTTTATATTCTTTTTAATTTATATTAATTCCAATCATTAGTAATTCTTCCTTTTGAGCAGCTTAAATTCATTATCTGCGCATCGAACCTAAAGCGTATTATTCATTTAATAAAATAATGTGTACAATAATTTTGACTTCTGATGTTCGGATGTTTTAATTTCTGATTTCTCGTTGGAAGTGATATTAGATTCACATTCTTATTGTTTAAGTATCCATGTCACATGGTGACCAACACTATGGATAAATCGTTTTTTTTTGTCAAATGAGCAAACAAGCCATTTTGGCAAACTCTCTCGAAGAGTCAACTGGATATTTTTAAATTTGAATAGTTTCATATTAGAAAAATAATGTATGCGATTTGACTAAACTTCCATTAAAAGCTCTGTGGTAAAACATATGAAATATTAAAAAAACCAATGACCAGATAAAAACTTTCGTAAACTCATACAAAAAAACCCGAATTTATCCATCTATGGTGTGATCAGACCCTTCTTACTTATTCAAGTTTATTTATTTTATTGTCATTATCAGTGACCAAGCCCCCCACCCCCGTGTCATCCAGTGACGCTACGCCACTGCCTGGGGGTACCCGGAATATATCCGGGTGTAGTCTATTTGGTGAAGCTACCAATCACCTTATCATCGTATTTTAATGTGATTTAATGGGTTTTAATTCAATTCATATTCAAGCAACTTCCCCGGGGTACCCGGAACATGTCCAAGTGTGTCCAATGTGGTCTGGAACACTTAACAATTCTGTAGTAATTTGATGTGTCGCATGATGGTTTTGATACGTTTTCAGTTAAAGCCAGCGTGAAGGCCCATATTCATCGGATCTTATTCCGGCCATATCTCCGGAACCAATTCACCGATTCCAAAACCGTTCAATAGCGTTCAATGGGACCCCAAGACCTATCGCCGAGTTTGTCCAAATCGGTTGAGCGGTTGCTGAGAAACGTGAGCGCATTCATTTCGTTACATACACACACACACACACACACAGACATGTTCCGATCTCGTCGAGCTGAGTCGAATGGTATATGACACTCGGCCCTCCGGGCCTCGGATCGATAGTTGGTTTTTCAAGTGATATCTATACCCTTCTTTGTAAGAAGGGTAAAAAAGATAAATTGTAGAAAATGTGATTACTACTGCATTAAAGAAATTTTCAGCCGGAAGCAGATTTGTCTTTTATTATTTGAACTTAATTTTTGGTATTTGCAGACTTGTAGAAAATATACAAAACCCTTTAAAATATCAAGATTTTAGGATTACAAAATTTTTAAATAGACTCATTCTTTAGAAAGCTAATGTGTCAGGATTCTAAGCTTTGAAGAAATTATACAGCCAGATACAGATTAAAGAGATTTTTTTCTATAAAAACACAGATTGACACTTGAAAAACAAGGGGCAACACTGTGTGGAAGTGCACCTAGAACGATAAGTTGTGAGCACGCAATAAGCTAATATGCAATAAGCAAAAAGCTTGAAATGCGAAGAAGAAGGAGAAGAATTAGAACGTTTTTAAAATGATCTTTACCAAATATGAACAATATTTGTCAATAGTCAAAAGTAAAACAGAATTGCAGTTTCTTACTGCAGACAGAAAGATTACAATTTCTCATCACACACTCAAAGCAAAACAGTTGAAACTGTAGTACTTGTTTTGGTTTTATTGCAAAGGCATGAATTGAACACCCTACGGAGTACTTTCTTTATGCTTGTTTTGAAATTAAAAAGATAATGCGAATTCTTCTACGATAAAACTAATAACTAATTGTCAATGTATATGATTCTTTAAATAACAATAAACGGTGGTTCTGGTTGAATTCTATTTGATTAAATGTAGGCAACGGATATCAATGAATCAGCGACGTCCCGTAACCTCAATTTTTACCTGTGCACCAACTTTAAAAAACCAGATTTAATGACATATTCATACTTGAATCGGTTGAAAATGCATTCACTCCTCTAGTTTACTCGATATCTATCCATTGCAAGCAATATTTTGATAATTGTTTATGTTTTGAGAGTTGGTACACAGGTAGATTGAGGTTAAGGCAACGCCACTGCAATGGATGGTAATTTTGACTACATGTATCACTTATATGAAGACCTACTGTATTTGACATTTTATTTTTTTTAAACTTTACCATTAACAATATTGGATGCCATATAATATTTTTATCACTTTTTTTACAGAAAAGTGCCACTTTTCGACACTGTTTTGAATAACATAATGGCATACATTTCACAACTAAAGTAACATTGTCAAAAAGAACTACTTATCAGCATCCAGTGCTGAAAAGCTCTACTTTTCGACTCTCGTTTGAGTGCAAAAAAAGTTGTATGCATCTGGCAAGCCTCGTATTGAGAAAATCTTCTTTTTGGAACTTGTAGATTTTTCAATTAAATCAAGAATATCACTCACCTTTATTAATCCAGAACGAGGCCTGCGTTAGATAATGGCCTCCAGGTGATTGTCTTCTCTTTAGTCTATAGTTGTCTTGCGTATATCGTCAATTTCAGAAATTCAAACTCGTGAAACGTTGACTCCGACCAAATTGATGCTCGGTACTTTGGTTCCTTCGTACTCCCTCCGTTCCAAGCACTCAATCACACCAGTGTCACTGATAATTTCGAAATCAGTCAATGCACACTCAGCTCCGGCAACTCGTTATCAAGATCAAAAATCATCGGCACACGGCTCATAGAGACACAATTTTTCTTACAACTTTCTTCATAAATTATTTAACTCCGCTACCCGTGCGACGATCTTTCACCGATGAAGACATTCCGTGTTGGTAGGTACTTCTTTCTGTTTTATATTTTCCCCAATACGCGCACAGTTGATCACCGGTTTCGGTTAACTTTTATTGCTTTTCCTGTATTTCCTTTCCTTCTGGGATGCACTGACGGTTTCTTTTTGCTTCCTTCGATGTTGTTATGTAACGATTTTTTGTTGTTTCGTATGTGCTGACGGGATTCCCGTTTATTTTTTTCTCTCTCTCACTGAAATTGATGATCAATCAGCTGGGATTCACCCCTCCTAATAGACACTAATCAATTTTAACTCTCTGAAAAGACACAATGAAATAAACCAATCGAACCATCTCACACTGGAGTCACCTTCCACGCAGTATCACACCTTCGCCTCAACTGGAGCCGAGAAGGTTCCTCGGGAACTTCGGCCACACACTCCGAAAACAAAATTCCGTTCACTGATAAGAACACTGTCTGAGCTGGACTTCTCCGCGCCCCCTCCCCACTCACAAACACACTACTATCCCACTGCCATTCGCAACGTTGCAGGCCAAAGGTGTGATAAAACCGAGTCACTGATGATTGAAATACATGGAAAGAACCCTTTTCTGTTCCGCTGTTCAACCCACTAAATTTAACGAAAACACGCGCTCGCCTATGTTGAACTCACAGCTCCGGAATCGTTTCGTAAATAAAGTGCTGTTATAGTTCGATCAATGTGTGTAGTTGCTGTTATCACGAAAATTAAATATAGGCTAGTAAGCGGTACGACGGCCCTGTTTTCCAAGGGGTCCAACGAGTGCACTGACTGTGATCCAAAACTACTACCGCTTCGCGACGCGTCTCGCCATCAACCGCCGAAATGCTACTGAGTTTCGCGCTTCAACTTCACAGCAGCAGCAGCAGTAGTAGTTCCATCCAACCATGTGCGGTCGAGCGAGGGGCAATGCCAGAGCTTCTTCGACTAGGTGGTAGGTAGGTACCGAGGACCGCACGTTCGTTGATCGTCCAAATGAAGCAGTAGTGAGTTGTTCATTATGAATTGCTCGCGGCTTGGTTTGGTTGGTTCGTTGGTTGGTTGTTCCTGTTGTTGTTGTCGTAGTGATCGTCCGCGTCGGTCGTCGTGGTTTCAGGTAATTCACTCCTTAGGGTGGGTCAAGTTTGTATGGAAGGTCACAACCCACAGTTCCGCACTGCTATTTCGATTTGTATTGAGATCTGGATTTGCGAGAGAAATGTAAGGTTGGGAACATGTATGAGAAACGAAAATGAAATATTTATTTGCATGTTAAATAATCCAACATTGCTTTGGGTATTAAAACATGGACCCACCCTATTGCTCACACTGTTGATGCCGCCCGGCTTGATACTTTCGGTACAGTACACTACTATCAGCGCAAAAAAGGTGAGTCGATACTAGCGCTCGTTTTTTTTTCCGCGATGATAAGGGTTTTTCGGTTTAACGAAGGGGAGAGAGATCATAGGGTGGTTGTTTGATAAACGGTAATTGCTTATTGGTTCACTACAGGTAATTGCGCTTGTCATTTCGCTCGTTGATTAAATCTGAAGATTTGTGTTTTTCAAAGTTAAACACATCCAATACTAATGAAGCTTTGTGATTCTAAGATTGCCCATTTTAATTACTGTTAACAGGAGAAACTTTAGACACATGTAGTGTAGAGAACTACTTCGGCCTAATTTCAGTGTTAACAAGTCAATTATTCCTTGAAATTTGTCGAACCTCTTAACGGAATCCCTTTATGAAGAGCTTTGAGTGGGTTGGTTTATTTCCTTTAAATTCCGTTATAATTGCTTATCTTTTGACAGATACGCGTATTTCGTCTACTACTTGCAGACTTCATCAGTGCCAAGTACTCAACACCACTTGAGTGGTGTTGGTACTTGGCACTGATGAAGTCTGCAAGTAGTAGACGAAATACGCGTATCTGTCAAAAGATAAGCAATTATAACGGAATTTAAAGTCAATTATGCTTTTGGTACGATACTTTAGTTAATAAGCTACCGAACGAAGTCTATGAGAACGCGTGATATGGAGGTTTGCACCCATAATTCCCAAAAACAAAAGAAACACTCCGACCGAATCAATTTTTAGCTGCATCCGATAGGCAGAAGTGAATTCATTGGCGTTTCAATGCGTTAGGCCGAGTTTTGAATCCGTAGGCTGAGTTTGGCGTCAAGAAGCAGTGTTAGACTTTTGACAATATCTCAACGATTGGTTTCTCTTATCAAATCTTACGGTACAAACGGAAGGGTAAATAAATTTGGAAGCCATCAGTAATAATAACAATCCGTTTGGTGCTAAACTGCGCTAGATTAAGAAAGACTAAGTGCGGGTTGTGCTTAATAGGCCGGAAATGGGGTAGTTAACAATATTTATCTAAAAAAATCTGCATTTATACCAACCAGTTGAATTGTATTCTAATATTACTGATCTGGAAAATGGCAGATACTTATTTAAATTGAAAACTATCATAGTTAACAAGTGTACGGATTGTGCCCAATATTTAAAGTTTTGATCCAACAATTGTTCCAAATATAAAATAAATCATTTGTGACTAAAGTTTACACAAACGGCAGTGCAAATAGCAAAGCAGACTTGGGTTATAAACTGAAGCCCACCCGGTAGTTTTTATCACGGTTTATTTATATGTATGATTGTTTCATGAACTGATGTTTCAGCTTACTGAAAAAAAAAGATTTCAAAATTCAGATTTCATCCGTGCTGCAGTCACCTAGAAGTTTTGTGTTTAGTTTCGACTGTGAAAATCATTTTTTCCCCGATTTTGATGAAATTATACTAAGCTATTCCATAACAAAACGATATAGTGGTTCTCAGAATGCCGTAGAAATTGGTAGCTTTGTTCCTTATCGCAATATATTAGACGCGTATATTTCTTATTTTGTCACTAAGGTGACCATTTCCATATTAAGGTGGTCCAAAAGTTTGATTTTTTTTTAAATGGCTTTGCCCATAGGAATACTTTTTAGGAAAAATATAATGATATTAGAAACTATGGGGTTTTGTATTGAAAAACATTGATTGTATTCATTTTTATGGTTTTCATGGTTTCTAGATAGAGGGCGCAATATGTTTTTATATTTTTCCTTGAGAATTTTAACTGTTTTACACATCATATTAAAAAATCAGTCATTCGTTTTTTTTCGTTTTTGAGTAATATTTGTTTGAAGTAATCAAGTTTTGGGTTTTCGCTCAATCCTCCTATGCGACTAGACTACCATGCGTCGTAGCCAGGTTACAGTCACTATAAATTAATATAGACGCATGGTAGTCTAGTCACATTTTTTGGACCACCCTAACAAGGAAATTTTCACCCTAATGACAAAATAAAAAAATACAGGTTTAATATTTTGCGATAAGAAACAAAACTACAAATTTCCACGGAATTCTAAGAACCACTTTATCGTTTTGCTATGGAATGGCTAATTTCATTTGATTTTGGTTTGTACCTGATTGAACCTGAGGGCCAACCTTGAGACGGTTGCAAATAAAAACAACATTTGCGCGATTATTTCAGGCGTAACATTTGATAATGGCACAAAAGCATTTGTAAACAAACTTTCTAAGACCCTTTACACGCGAACCGAAGTACGCCCAAGCAAACCAATACCACTTTCGGAAAGGTGAGAGTTGCCCCTATCCAATGATGTCGTTGGTTTGCGTGAGCGTACTTTGGTTCGCGTGTAAAGGGCTTTAAAAAGTTTGTTTACAAAAGCTTTTGTGTCGTTATTAAATGTTAAGCCTGATTTTTAACGCTTTTAAGTGGTATTAATAAAAATTAGTTATTTTTTAACGGTGCTAGAGGCATTAATGAATAACAATTAACTTTCGCACCATAAAAGGATCTAACGTTTCGAAAAAAAATAGTAATAAGAGATTCAGTATGTAATGGTTTGTATGAGAATCTTGTTATCTTGAAACTCAACAGTTCTCGTGCACTAATCATTCGCCAATATTAAAGCAGCAACAAGCTCATAAGAAAATAGCCTTAGCCACACAAAAATATCACACGATCAGTGAGTAAGAAACTTAATGCAAAGCAGGGCCGTCATTATCACCCATGGGAGCCCTGGTCTATTTTTTTGCGGGGCCTCCAAACCACCCAAGTAACCAGAAGTTCTGATAAAAGGCTATTTGTGGCTTAAATAGCTTGGTTGAAGGTGGTCTATAGAATTCTAAGCAGCCTCATTTTTAGGTCGTTATAAGAACTTGAAAGTTCCGGTACCATAATTGAAAAGCATTCTAAGCAGCTTCTGGCGGAACTTGAACGGAACTTTTAGAAATTAAATTAAAAAAGGTTTTTGTCCTCTACACCAGGCATGGAAAATCATTTATATTTATTACCTATATTAATTTACATTCATTTGCCTCTAACTTTTTTTATCAACAGCATTTCGCAAAATAATGTATAGAGCTTTAGTATGTTTTGTTATTAGCTACAACTTTTGTTCATAATTCAAATGCATTATGCATCACAAATAAGAGCGGGTAAAACTTGTTATTGTACCTGAAAAACAGTAATGGATTCTGTTCGCTCTGGTTTGTCATGCATAAGAGATACGGATTTGAAATGTCGACAAAAATTGTAGCTAATAACAAAACCTACAAAAACTCTATACATTATTTTGCGGAATTCTGTTCATACAGGGGCAAATGAATGTAAATGAATGCACGAAATGAATGCAAATGATTTTCCACGCCTGGTCTACACTAATTATATTATTTAGTTCGCAATTTTATGAAAGTTATTTCTAAAGGCAGGTATTAATGTGTATGGATTCATCAGCATTCTCTTCTGCGTGAGAGTCCCAGCACGAACCGCAACGTCATCTGAGATATATTAAAGTGAGCTATTGTCCCGCCTATTGTTGGATTTTTCAGTGCTAGCTGACTGACTTGAATACGAAACACATCACCTTGATGAATTTTAAATTGATGTTTGCCCGCATGGAATTCCAACACACTTGTGGCGCAGTGGTTAGCAATCGTAAATCGCATGCTAAATACACGGGTTCGAATTCAGGAAATTAGTCTTTAAATTTTTAATGTTTGGATATAATGTTGATGCACTCCGTAAATATAAGAATTATGATTTATTCCGGCCACTGATCATTTAAAATTTACGTACATTACATTTTGTTACTAATGAAGACTTTATTTGAACTTTATGGAACTTGAAAGTTCTATCGGGACTTTATTCGAACTTTATGGAACTTGAAGGTTCGGTTGGAACTTTATTTGGACTTTATGGAACTTGGAAGTGATTTTAATCGTTGAATGCGGAACTTTTGGTTACTTGGGCAGGGTTACTTCCACTCACTTGCTATAAAAATCAGTTTTTCGTAATTATGAAATCATTAGATATTATAATGATATGTTGTACTTGTAACTTACAAGAATAACAAATCATTATAACATCTTATGATTTCAAAATTCCGAACAACAGTTTTTATAGCAAGTGAGTGGAAGCAGCCCTGCTCCCAAGGTATGTTATCATTTTTTTCATTATCGCACAGATGAAATAAAGAGACTTGCAACACATTGTTTTCGTATTGATATTTTTTTTTCAAATATGCTTTCT